AATGGTAGCTCATTAATTGCGCCTGGAGGAGGTAGTTTGCTCTTTTCAGATCAGACTAGCACTTTATGCTACAGTGTCACTGGTCCTCTGTTCTTTGCACTCACCACATCAATTTTGCATGATGTGCAGAACTATTTTGCAATTTGGAAAGCACAAGAGAAGTGAAGGAGGCTATGTGTATTGTTATCCATGCCCTAACAATAATGACACAACCAAGGCTACACAATGAATATTTACAGACCTTGGGGATTGAGTATGATGTCCTTTTTACCTTAGTTTAACCCAAGAATGTCAAGATCAAAATTACTTTTGAAAGGAAAACGTGTGAATTTAAATCTATTTTTATTTTTCCCTTTGAGAAAAAATATTTTGAAACTTCAGACTTTCGCAACCCCTAATGTAATAATTAATTAAAGTAAGAAACTCATCCCTTTTACATTGGTTTGTGATTGCAAAACATCACCTCACAGATTACTTAGGGGAAATAGTACTTTTATAATGGAGAAATCTGGCAGATTTTTTTTACCTTAACCAAGTAATCAAACTGTATGTTATCAATTAATGGGACCAAGCACCGCTAAATGAATACCTCTGGTTGTGATACACTGAAAAAGACCCAAATCACCCAGTGAATTACAAAGATACCATCAAACACGTTCAGATTGTAGGATATTCTACCGAACACCTGGCCTGAAGTCCTCATAACTGTCAATGTCCTGGAAGACCAAGAAAAAAATGGGGAACTGTTCTAGATTAAAGGAGACGAAAGAGACAAGACAATAGATGCAACGCAAAAAAGAGAAGGAAGGGAAGAAGGGAAGGAGAGAGGAAAAGAAAGAAAGAAGGAGGGAAGGAAGGAAGAAAAAGGAAGACATAGATCTAGAGGACATTATTTGGATATTTGGAGAAGATTGAATATGGACCATATATTAGAAAATATTAGTTTATCAATGTCGAATTTCTTGAACGTTGTTCTATAGGAAAACGATCTTGTCCTTAGATGAATGATAAAGTATTTATGAGTAAATTGTCATAATGTCTTTAATTTACTTTCACATAATTTAGAAAAAAGTATACATACACACACCTCGTCACACACGTACACACACATATAAAATGTTAACAATTGGTGCATCTAGGTGATGAGTGTACAGGTAATCATTGTATTCTTTCAACTTCTGTGTAGATTGGGAATTTTCTAGAATGAAAAGTTGGGGATCTAGAAAGGCCCAGCCCAGCCAGGTCTGTGTGGTCCCCCTCCTGCCCACCTGGCTCCCAGGAGGAAGCACACTGAGGCTCAGCATTTCCAGTACCTCCTCTCAATGGTCGTGGAGTTACAGCTCTTTGTTCATTCCAAGCCACAGGGACAAAACCACCAACCACAGGGCCACCACCAAAATATCCCCCGGGCCTCTGGTGTGACCTACCTCCTGGAACTCATCGTAGGAGGCACACGGGTAGCCCAGGAAGCCATCAGGGCTGAGGATACTGCTTGAGTAATACTTGTAGCTTCTTAGGTGGTTGCAAGCCGCAAAGTTTTGGGTTCCTGAGAAAGCAAAGCCTATGGGAGCTTGCTGAAGGCATTTCACTTTTGAAGCCTGAACCATTCTGACTGAGCCAGGAATCACCTCCACATTTCACAG